GAAAAATGAAGATGAACAGATGCCTGAAAGCTACACGTCTGCCAAGAACCGATTGTTCAACATTGAAAAGAAGATAGACAAAGACCCTCAGCTGAAGGCAGAATACAATAAGCAGATCCAGCATCTAATCGACAGCAAGTATGCAGAAGAAGCACCTGGTGGACAAGAAGATTCAAAGAAGACATGGTACCTCCCTCATTTCTCCGTGGTACATCCATTGAAGAAGAAAATAAGGGTCGTCTTCGACGCTGCAGCCAAGTCTAAAGGGAGAAGCCTCAACGACGCTTTACTACCGGGACCAGACCTACTGCAATCGCTCTTCGGGGTATTACTGAGGTTCCGGCAAGGCCCGTTTGCAGTGGCAGCCGACATAAAGGAAATGTTCCTGCAAGTTCGCATCCGGCCAGAAGATAGAAACAGCTTGAAGTTCCTGTGGCGAGGGGATCGTCGTGACGTAGCACCGAAGGAGTACAGAATGACATCAGTCATCTTCGGCGCGACATCATCTCCTAGCACAGCGATCTACGTGAAGAACCGGAACGCGGCGGACTACAAGAAGCAGTACCCAGAGGCAGCAAAGGCAATCGAGCTGAACCATTACATGGATGACTACCTGCACAGCTTCCATTCAGAAGAGGACTTCAAGAGAATTACAGCGCAGGTGGACTTCATTCACAAAAAGGCGGGCTTCGAACTCCGAGGATGGGCGTCAAACCACTCCGACCTGCTGCAAGACGTGAAGACTGAGCCAGTTGAGAAGACAGAGGTGGACCTTGGTGAGAAGGAAGAGAAGACACTGGGACTACGCTGGTTTACAGAAAGGGACTCCATAGGCTTTAGGGCGAACCTTCGGAACACGCCAGATGAAGTGGCACAAGGACTCAAGGTACCTACGAAGAGAGAAGTCACCAGCGCCGTGATGTCGACCTTCGATCCACTAGGGCTAGCATCACCAATTCTCATCCAAGGCAAAAGGCTGCTCCAGAACATATGGCGAAGTGGCGTCGATTGGGATGAAGAGATAGAAGAAAAGGAGTACGAGTCATGGAAGACTTACCTGGAGAAGATGAAGCTGCTCCAAGACCTTCAGATCCCGAGATGTCTGGCACCACGTCGCACCGAGGGGGAGCTGCACACGTTCACGGATGCAAGCGAAATGGCGTATGCAGCTACGGTATATTGGAGAACTGAAAATCAAAATGGGACTTATGACGTCAGCTTAGTAGCAGCAAAAGTAAGAGTCGCTCCGTTGAAGCCGGTGTCAATCCCGAGACTCGAGCTGCAAGCGGCCCTCCTAGGAAGCAGATTGGCACACTCGGTCGAGGAAGAAATGGATCTGAAAATAGAAAAGAAGACGTTTTGGACAGACTCCAGTATCGTGCTATCATGGATCAAGACGGACCCGAGAACCTTCAAGACATTCGTGGCTCATCGCTTGGCGGAGATAGAAGATCTCACAAAACCACAGGACTGGAGATGGGTACCGACGGCGCAGAACCCTGCAGATGATGCAACACGTGACGTACCAGAACACTTCGACTGCCAACACCGATGGTACACCGGACCAGGGTTTCTAAGAAGAGATGAAGTTCACTGGCCTGCGGCAAGAACATTCAAGAAAGAAACCACTGGCGAAGAAAAGGCAGCGGACATCGTAGCGACTGCAGGCAGCTCCTATCCATCACCAGATCCCGAAAAGTTCTCGTCGTGGAAAAGACTTTGGCGAGCTACAGCAAGAGTACTGCAGTTCATACAACTCTGCAGAAGAAAGGAAAAGGTCCACGCCAGCAAAGAAGATCCTACCTGGAAAACTACAAAAAGGAATAAGAAAATTGTTGAGAAGCGACATCTGTCTTCAAAAACGTCAGAAAGGAAATACATACCATTGGAAACAAGTCTACTAGAGCAAGCTGAAACGCTGTTGTTAAGAAGAAGTCAAGAGAAATGCTTCAAAGAGGACATCAGGTGCCTACAGCAAGGAAAACAATTAGAGGGCAGCAGCAAGTTGAAAAGGCTCGACGTAGTGCTAGAAGAAGGTCTCCTGCGACTGAAAGGAAGAATCGACGCGATACGAGGGGTTACCAGAGACTACAAACGACCCATCGTACTCGACAGCAAGGACAAGACAACACTTCTCATCATAGAAGAATTTCACTGCCGCTTCAATCACGGGAATCACGCGACCGTAATGAACGAAGTAAGACAACGCTTCTGGGTGCTAGGACTGAGGTCAGCGATCAAGACCATTCAACATCAATGCCAGTGGTGCAAAACAAGAAAGGCAAGACCTCAAGAACTACCAGTGGGCAACTTACCTGCTGAGAGGCTGATGCACGGAAACCCTCCATTTACGTGCACGGGAATAGATTACTTCGGCCCTATGACGATCACCGTAGCAAGACGCCATGAGAAGAGATGGGGTGCTCTATTCACATGCTTAACAACACGAGCTGTACACATTGAGCTCACTCCTTCACTCTCCACTGACAGCATGATCATGGCACTACGACGATTCGCCGCGAGAAGGGGAATGCCAAAGATAATCTACACCGACAATGGCACTAACTTCGTTGGCGCCAACAAAGAACTCAAAGAAGCACTAGACACCATGAAGCAAGAAGACCTTATCTCGGAAGCGGAGAAGATCGGTGTGCAGTGGAAGTTCATACCTCCTGGTGCACCAAACATGGGAGGTGCATGGGAGCGTCTGGTGCGATCCATTAAAACCGCACTGGACGCCACGCTCAACGAAAGGCAACCACGAGAGGAGGTACTTCATACCCTCCTGTTAGAGGCCGAGCACATAGTCAACTCTCGGCCCCTCACCCACCTCTCCGAGAACCCTGAAGAAGAAGCACTTACACCGAACCACTTTCTCATCGGGCGATCATGTGGCGCAGCAAGAATCGGCAGCTTCGAGGACAACGAGCTTGTGGGCAGACACACCTGGAAGGCTACGCAGCGACTTGCCGATCACTTCTGGCAACGTTGGCTGAGAGAGTATTTGCCCACTCTACTACCAAGGAAGACCAAAGGAAGAGTCAGCGCCACAGATTTGCAAGTCGGAGACATCGTACTGATCGTCGATCACAGCCTACCAAGATGCATCTGGCCACGCGGAAGAATCCTGCATGTGTATCCTGGACCAGACGGGCGGACCAGAGTCGTCGACGTCGAGACCAGAGGAGGTGTTCTACGGAGGCCCAGTTCGAGAGTGGTGCTGTTGGTGCCGGGAGCGTCGCCGAGTCCAGGAGTTGGTGCAAAGCACGAGGGGGAGAATGTCGGCGACGGAAAACTTATCTTCGAGTAACGTGTGTATTAATATAGGGACAATGTCATTTTAGCGTATTATGAATAATTGTTGTAAATATGAAATCTCATTCTTATTAGATTTATTATGTTAAAATAAGTTCTAATTAGTGTAATAAGGTTAGTTTAGAGTATTTTTTGCTTATTTGAATCATATAAGACTATTTAACATTAATTTGAAAGGAATAGGTACGTAAGTAAAATGTTAGCATATAATTACGTAACTTGAAAATGAGATTTTTTGTTTCTTGCAATAGCATAATAGTTTATGTTTTAAATAATAGATTTTATTATAAAACTTATAATAAAACAAGAATTAGGTCGATAGGACTATCCGTTCAAAAGTTATAAGGGAAAATGTATAGTAAAAATGTAGCAACCTAGAAATTTAGATATTTTTGTTTTAAGACTTTTTTAATTAATTATTATATATTGAATATTATGTTTTAATATTGTATAATAGTATGTAAGGCATGTAAATAAATAAATATGTGTAAGGTGTTTTACTGAAAACATAAAATAAAAGGACTCTCAAGGTTTCGGTTTAGGGAAATTTTATTCGAAAAACGAGCTCAAAGTACGCGGCTCTCTGTAAGGTATTAACGGGCCAAATAAAAGGCGAGCCATTTCTCGATTCGAGTCAGTCGCAAGACAGCCACCGAAGAGGCAACAACTAAAAGGAAAAGGAAGAACCGAAACCAAGAGAGAAAAAAGGAAAAATTGTGTTTTATTTCATCGCCTCTAAGTATAGTCTCCTGTCAACGAAGAAACCCTAGTGGATCGGGACCCAAGCTACGCATTCAGGGGTGCGTGGTGGCGTACATTACCAGCGAACGGACATACTGCCGTGTACGCCAAGAACGTCTGGGAGATTGTCCCAGGTCGACCTCCGGGTACTAGACATACCCTGGTTCTGGTCGTCCGAAACAGTTACTTTAATTAATTCTTTTGAATAAGAATCAATATAAAGAATACAATTTACTGAATTTACGATTTTTTTTAAATAAAAATACTACACAAAATAAATTACACAACAGTACACAATAGCTTTGACATTACTGTTACTTTATATTAATTCTTTTGACCAAGAATTAATACAAAGTAACCATCTGACTGACTCATCATTTAACCTATTTCCATGTTTTCTAATTACTAATGATGCTTTAGAAAATAGTCTCAGCAGGCACTGAAGTTGCAGGTATTGAAAGAAAATCACGGGCCATCTTCGATAAAGCTACTCTGTCTCATGCGTCCTCCACCACTCTAAAACGTCTTCCGTGCTGGCGGCTCTGGGTTTACTTAGGTACTCCTCCAACTCGTCAATAACTAAGCCTTGAAGACAAAATCCAGATCGGGATGACGTCGAGGGACATACATACAGTCTCTTAAAGTCTATTACGTCTTCATCTTCATCATATTCATATACTTTCATTCATTTCTTGGTGATTCTAGAGATTTATTCACTGAGTGTAAACTTTTATATTCTTAATAAAATTCATTAGCGCAGGCTTTCTGTTTTAATTTGCTTCCCTCATAATGTCATGTCAAAAGTCTGAGCCTTCTGCCTTGGGTCCAAAATTAATAAGGTACAATGTTAAACATAGTTTTTTATTTATTTATTTATTTGGATTCACAAGTGATAATTACATTGAAACATTTTTAAATTAATTACACAATTTAACTTAATCCTAAATTTTACTGCTGCTGGATGGTTCTATTTCTAGTTCTTTAGAAGTAGAAGGGGGTTCTTTGGATGTTAAAGTCTTGCTCTCTCCGTTTTCATCATAATCTATATATGAGATTCTTTCATTTTCTTCATATCTGTAGTTTGACTCATAAATCGTACATCTCTGGACTCGATTATTTCATTTGTTTAAGGATCCCATAGTCTGTAACCTGAGCCGCAATATCCAATCATAATCATGGGCTTCGCTCTTGGTTCCAATTTGGTTAACCTTGGCAGAAGTACACACCATGCCTTCGAGCCAAAAACTCTTATTTTATCTAGCTGACTCTTTCCATACCATACTGTTGCCGGTGTGTCACCTTCTAGTGCTTTTGTAGGTAATCTATTTATGACATATGCTGCACACCTCATGGCTTCACCCCATAGATACTTTGGAAGATTTGTCTCCAGCAACATAGCTCTTGCTCTATCTGCTAGTGTCCGATTCATCCTCTCACATATTGAATTTTGTTGTGGAGTATAACTACAAGTAGTTTCCTGTACTATACCATTTTCTTTATAGAATAATTTTAGGTCATCATTCACAAATTCTCTGCCTCTGTCGCTTCTTATTCTCTTTACGTTAATATCATTATTTCGAAGTCTTCTTATGTATTTTATTATATAATCTTTTGCTTGATCTTTTGTTTTTAATATGTGAACCTCCATAAAATGTGAATAATCACCTATTATTGTAAGATAGTACTTTTCTCCATCTTTACTTGTTGGTGTTATCGGGCCACCAATATCACAGTAAATCAACTCTCCAATTTTCTTTGTTCTTGGAATTGGGGTTGGACTGAATGAACAACGGGTTCCTTTAGCTTCCATACATATTGTGCATCGTTCTTTAGATAACGGTAATCCTAGTATCTTCATACCTTGATAATTTAAGTGTCCCATTCTCCTATGCCATAAATTATTTTATGTCTTATCTGTTATTAATATATTTTCTCTGTTTAACTTTAAATTTAATGTATATAGTTTTCCATCTATATCACTTTTAATTTCTATTTTTCCTCGACAAATACTGACACCTGTTTTATGAAATATAACTTTTAGGCCTTTCTCGTTCAACTTTAAAACAGATATAAGATTGTGTGACAGTTTCTCCATTGTAAGACAATCTTTTAGTGAAATTTTTAATCCTTGACTACATATTCCTGATAAATTACCTTTTCTTTTAGCTGATAACATATTTCCATTTGCAACTAAAACTTTAATTTCTTGTATCTCTTGTATATCAGTCATATATTTCTCATATTCTATACTAATCATATGGTTCGATGCTCCCGAATCTATTACAAATTCTATCTCATTTTGATATGTAGCTGCTGTATAAGCTTGAGAAGCAATGAATGTCGAATGATATAGCTTTTTCACTATCGTTTTCTTCTCCTAAATATGCTCGGGGTCTATTATTTTTTTCTTTTCTTTTAAATCCTCTGTAATTTCCTCTACTTCGCTTTTGTGGATTTCTTGTCCTGGCTCTGTTTGTACAATTTCTGGCTGTGTGATTCGGCTCACCACATGAAAAACATTTTATAGAGTTGCTTTCAAATACATATTCTTGTTTACTTACTTTACTTTCTGAACTTTGCTTTTCTTTTAGCTTGGCATCTAAAAACTTACTTTTTACAAAATCTATTTTAAGTTCCATGTTTGAAGTTTCTAGAGCAGTCACTATGGATGGGTATGCTCCTTCCATACTAATTAATAACTGGCATACTTTATCTTTCTCTGTCATTTTTGTGCCGTTCAACTCTATCTCTCTAATTATTTTGTCAAATTTGTTAAAGTGTTCCTCAACACTATCATGCGTTTTACATTTTAAATTAATTAGACTCCTCCTTAAATAAAGATTCGAAATTGTTGATTTTCGTTCAAAAACATTTCTCAAGTGTTCAATCATTTCATGTGCTGTTCTAGATTCTTTTACATATTCCAAATGTTTGTCTGAAAGTGCTTGTACGATGATGTTGCGAGCCTTGGCGTCCGATTTCTTTAAATCTGCATCTTTTAAATCCGTTTTCTTACGTATTGCATCCACACACCCTTTTTCATCCATGGCAATCTCTATTCGAAAGAGCCAATTAGTGAAATTTCCACTTTCTAATTGTGGTATTCGGTTGACCGCATGTGCCATTGCTTTTATTTCCTTTTTTTATATCCTTGCTTTCGAATAAAAATGTGGACCAACTGGGTGCTTACACGTTTGTCTTAACCAAGCCTTACTTTTGGCCATCACTGCCCTACGAACTTTGTCATCTGACTGAATTTTAACACTTTTTGTAGTCTGGGCCCATAACCTAATGAATTTTCTGATGCACAATGAAAACCTCTATTTATTATTCAGTATTCTTTATTTCAGTACAAGTAGACACAGTAACAAAGATGCCATATCTCACTAACCCCACATAAAAACGGAACCGGAAGACAATTGTCTATTCTTACATTCTACACTTACAGTAGATGTCAACCTGCCACAGATACATTTCCAACAATTACCTTTTAAAGCGGATACAGCATGCATTAACTTAATTCACAATTTTAAATTTTGATAAATTAAAATATAAATAAAATTACAATAACATCACTACATATAAATAATCGGACTTTGAAAATAAAACACATACATAAAGCCTGTTAAATAATATGGAAGCATTAAACTTCAAAGAATAATTAATTGAATAATTTAAAAAAAAATCAATTAAAAAAATATATTGAGACATTATTAATTTTGTATAAATTACATTGCAAATGCCCTAAAATAATTAAATTGTATAACAAATTGTGAAGTTCAGTCTAAAGCTAAGCTATACAGCCTTATTTGTTTACAATACAAGAGAACACTTTATTTCGATACTTTCGCAATGAGTCCCTAAATGGGTCTAAGTGGTCACTATTCTCGTTAAGTAATTTGGACAGTCGGGAAACTGGCGAGTTAGAGCCCAAGACAGTTCTTCGAAAAGGTCTAACAAGAGGAGTAACTGGTTTGCGACGATATCGAGTAGGAACGTTGAACCTAAATTTGGATACCAAATCTGGATTATCTAAAGTGTTGGTAAGACTTATATATAAAAACATTAAGTCCAGCAAATGTCTTCTTTTACTCAGGGTATGCATTTTGCTAGATGCTAGCCTATCGCTATAAGAACAGAGTTCTTTGGCCTTACCCTGAGAGAATGTCAGATGGTAAAGAAATCGCCTTAAAGAAGTCAGTATTTTAAAGTTAGTATCCAAAGAGTTTACTTGCTGCGTAGGCAATTTAAAAATCATAAATTCCTTTTTCTTCGGCAAGACATTGTTGGACACGTGTTTACATATAATTAAAGGATCTAATTTTCTAGCTGCTGTATTAACAGTTGTTAAAATTGTAATGTTATCTCTACCTGTACCTGCTGTAGTCCTGGTGCATGGCAGACCGACTCCACCACCGACTTTTGTTTTTGTTGGATCGAGTGCTATAACGTTTCATCTAAGTTAAATATTCGGTTTGGATCCTCTAAATTTAATTCATCGAGTGTTTATTTAAAAATGTGAAGTATTCGTGGATAACGAAAGGGTCTGTCATACGTTTCCTCAAATACTCTACAACCGAAATACTACAGACGATACGTTTGGCTCAGTTTGTAGTGATCCTACTTGCTGTGCCAGCGGTCGCGGGTTCGAGTCCCGCTGGAGGCATTCATTTGCGTGATGAGCACGAATGTTTGTACTCCAGTCATGGGTGTTTATATTTATAATATATATGTACATATTTAAAATTTATATATGTGTAGTGTATCAACTATCTGGTGTCCATAACACAGGCCTCGTAGCTTACCATGGAACTCGATAGTGCTGTGATTTAATGTCCCAACTAATTTATTTATTTATTTATAGAAATAAACTAGCGATATTAGCATGGATATTACTTAATTCTAAACTAACAGGAAATCCTTAAACTTACCAAGTAGCTTAAGATTACTAACAATATCGTTATAAAGTTGTCTAGGCGTTAAAATAGAAGGATGTAGAACATTATTCCTTACAAATAGTATAGACTTAAGGGTATTGTAGTGGTTAATGAGGTCTAAATGAAACGACTTCTGGATGACGACTGATTTATTATAATTCCCTTCTTCGAGAGTTACGAATACCGACATGACAATATGTTTATTTTAATATAATATAGTTATACCCACAACATCTCCCTTCGTTATAAATAAAAATAAATCAAAGGCTACATTTTAACTAAGCGCGTAATATATGTATATATAGAAAATATTTTGATACATAAAATTAATATACTACCTAATACATTTATGAAACATAAATATTACCTATTTCACTCCTTTTTCTGTTTTTTTTTTTTTTTTTTTTTTTTTTTCAATTATATATTTATTATTTAACCAAACTAATATCAACACCATTACCATCTGCTATATTCCTAATCATAGCCAAGTCTGTTAGGAGGGCGCACAATTCGTCCACTCCTAGTCATTTGAAATGATGGCGAAGGGTGCTGCGCCTGCGTGGGGCTTTGATCTTTTACTAAGTCTGTTGTTAGGCCGTAGTCGTAATTAAAACAATCATAGTCTAAGCTACTAAATCTACTTATTGAATTATTATTATTATTATTAAGTTTTTTAATGTTACAATTCGGTAATTTCATTATATGTTGTCTATTTCGCCTGTAAATGCCTCCATTTTCAGCTTGAAGCCAATATGAACGATCTCCACTAGCGGGACGCAAAACTTGAGCTTTAATCCATTTATTATTGTGTCTCATTCTAACAGATTCATTCGTTTTCAATGGAATTAAGTCTTTAGTACCACGATCATAATATGATTTGTATTGAGTTATTCTTTTTGATCGGTTTTTTAACATAGATTGCGGTTGAATCGCTTGTGGCTTTAATTGAGAATTTTTAACGGGTAATCTAGTGTTTAATCGTCGACTCATTAATAGTTGTGCCGGGGACCAAGTTTCACCAGTGACTGGTGTATTCCTAAAGTTTAATAATGCAAGTTTCCAGTCCTCTCCACTCTCATTAGTCTTACTCATAAGCGCTTTTATGGTTCGTACATTTCTTTCAGCGAGTCCATTAGATCGTGGATACAGAGGGGAACTCGTAGCGTGCACAAATCCCCACTCCTTTGTGAAACGTTGAAACTGTTCTGACGTAAATTGAGTCCCGTTATCAGTTACTAACTTATAAGGTATCCCGAATCTACTAAAAATATCTTTAAATACATTAATTATGGACGAACTCGTTAAGTTTGAAATATGTACGACTTCTACAAATTTTGAATAATAATCAACTACTAGCAAAAAATACTTTTCACGAAATTCAAAAATATCCGCTGCCAATACTTCCCATGGGAGGGCGGGTACTGGATGCGGCGCTAGCGGCTCGCGCGGGTTGGCGGCGCGGTGGCGCTGACACGTCTCGCACGCGCGCACTGCGACTTCGATGTCCGAGCTCATACCCGGCCACCACATTACATCTCTTGCTCGGCGCTGACATTTTTCTACGCCCATGTGACCTTCATGAATTCGTCTTAGCATTTCCTTGCGTAGAGAAGTCGGTATAACTACTCGATTATTCCTAAACAAAATTCCGTTAATAAAATGAAGATCGCCTCTGACCGTCCAGTACTGCCTTACAATAATATCGGTATCTCTTTTATTATTCGGCCAGCCGTCTTTATAATAGCGGTAAATAGCCGCATATACTGCTTCTTTAGCCGTTTCTTCCTTAATTTTTTTTAACATTTCCGGTGAAGCTTCAACATTCTCATATAAAGTATTAGCATGAATAATTACATCACTACACACGTCTTCATCGCATCCTTTCTCCATCGCGGCTCGGGACAGAGTGTCCGCTATAAACAACATTTTACCCGGTCTGTATTGTAAATTAATTGAGTAGTGCTGTAACTTTAACAACATTCTTTGAAGTCGAGCCGGTGCATCGTTTAGTGCTTTTTTAAATATTGCCTCTAGTGGCTTATGGTCACTTTCAACTGTGATTTTATCGTAACCATAAATGTATTGATGAAAACGCGTACATCCAAATACAATCGCGAGTAATTCCTTTTCAATCTGCGCCCACCGCTGCTCCGTCGGCGTGAGCGTGCGCGCCGCGTACGCGACCGGCCGGCCCGCCTGCAGCAAGCATGCACCGAGGCCGTGCGCACTCGCGTCTACGGACACAGTCACCGGCTCTTGTGGATTATAGTATTTCAATACCGGAGCAGAACTTATCTTCTTTTTTAATAAATTGAAAGCGTCGTCGTGGGGTTGAGACCAATCAAAATTAGTTTTTTTAGAAAGTAACTCTCGTAAAGGTGAAGATAACTCAGAATATCTAGGGATAAACCTTGACAAGTAATTAGTTACCCCTAAGAAACGTTCCAACCCCTTTTTATCCGTAGGCTTTTTCATATCTAAAATGGCACTCACCCTGCTTTTTTCCGGTAATATTCCGTTAGAATTAAAAATGTGTCCTAAGAATGTAAGTTGCGTAACGCCAAACTCGCATTTATTTTTATTAAATTTAACTCCGTTATTTTTCGCTCTAGTAATGACCTCATTTAAACGTTTATCGTGTTCTTCCTTAGTACGTCCCCAAATTAAAATGTCGTCAATGAAAACCTCAACACCTTCCATTTTAAAAATCTTACACATTTCATAATGAAATATTTCCGGAGCACAATTAATCCCAAATGGCATGCGCAAAAACCTATATCGGCCATAGGGAGTTGAAAATGTACATAATTTTGAACTATATTCATCTAGACGTAGCATCCAAAATCCATTCTTTGCGTCACATTTTGAAAAATATTTTGCTCCCGATAAGTTACTGAGTACTTCATCTAAAGTAGGCATTTGAAAGTGGCTCCGTTTAATAGCTTTATTTAGATTACGCGGATCTAAACAAACACGAAGTTTTTTATTCGATTTCTCAACAACAACAATGTTCGAAACCCAGTCTGTCGGTTCATCCTCTTTTTTAATTATATTTAATTTTACCATATTATCTAATTCCTCCTTTAAACGGGGTTTTAATTTTATTGGTATTTTTCTCGCAGCACTAACAACAGGCATTATCGTTTTATCTATTACAATCCTACAAACAGACGGCAAGCATCCAACGC